GGGCAACTCAAGCTGCGTGAAGTTGCCCTTTCCTCACTACAGAAGATTTCCCATACAACATAACGTTTAAAATTGGGACATAAGACGTCTTAAAAAGGTCTTAAGTACTAGCCTAGAGATGGGACATCGATAAGAAATAATTAATTATGACTCTAGTAACTTAATTGGAGCGCACCGATTATCGGTAGACCGATATATCGAGCGAAATAATCGATTCTAGTAAGAATCGGATACACTATCGCTGCATTTTGTTAAACATATGTGTGCTTATATATTTATAGTTTACGTGACATATATGAATAAACGCATATACCGTTTGCGGAATAAACTTTTCCAATCTCACTAGATCCAACTTATTTTTACCAGCATAAAAACAAGTTGGATTTCAGTGATATATTAGAAATGTACTAAGCAGAATAAAGCATTTCTAGCATGTTACTGAATCTCATAAGATTCAACGTAAAAACAAACGCCGTGTGCCGTTGGTTTAATCGCTTACTTAGTTCTTTTGCTATTGAATGCACAGCCACTAGATGCATTCATTTGCTGTTCTTGATGCAGTCAATGATTATGTTCAGCAGAGGAAGTAGCTTGCAACTGTTGTAAAACTCGTGAATCTGATTGATATATGATTACGTTTATATGATGACATTAATCTGGATTAATAATTACCATAGTAAACTTTTAAATCTAAGATTAGAGTATATTAAGCCAGCGGCACACGTTGTTTTCGTGCTGGATAGAAATACTGCGTTCTAATTGGCGTATTTCCGAAGATAGATGGAAATACACCAGTCAGAACGCAGTATTTTTATTCAACAAGCAATCTAGCACGAAAACAAGCATCGTGTCCTGCTGAATTTATAAGATAGATGAAATATAAAAGAATATACAAGTCAGATTTAAGAATTCACTAACTACGGTAGTAGTTAAGTTAAATATAAGATTCGACTATGAATACCGGCCTATAACTAGGTAGCCAATCAAGTTCCATCTTTCTGTTAGAACGATAGGAGTCAATAATCGGTTTAAAAGTATCAATTCTCGCCATAATCGAGTTGTCAAACAATCGATTACAAAATGTTTACGTATCAAAAAGAAATAATCGATTATAGCTATAATCGGTATCGGTATCGCCCATCTCTAGTACTAGCGCGACAGTACTATCAAAAAATTCAGTCCTACAATAGAAAGAAAAAGTTCCTTTTTGGTTACATGCGCAACCAATTGATTTTGACTGAAACTGTCCCTACACACACACATAAACAATGACGTGTCCCAACGAACACACACTGAGGGAAATGTCTAATGATACTAACCAGAATTCTATTTAGGTTTACCAAACGGCATGGTAAATAATCGTGTAACAAGTTGTCTAAGTAGCATTATAGTGATGCTTAAATACGTTTACCAAATCATTTGGTGCAGCATACAATTGATAATTGAAATAATAACACCAAACTTAAAATCTAACCATATAATATATATATGTATATATATATATATATATATATATATATGTATATATATATATATATATATATATATATGTATATATATATATTAAATATTATAATATTATAATTAATATATATAAAATTATATATATATATATATATATTAAATATTATAATATTATAATTAATATATGTAAAATTATATATATATATATATATATATATATATATATATATATAATTTTCATATACTTACTGTATATAATCTTTATATATTTACTTTTAAATTCATCGACATATTTTAAGAAATTTTATTCTTCCAAATATCTGACGGTTTTAGCGTCTACTCTTTTATAGCACCGACGTCTTTACAAATGAGTATAGATGGAAAAGGAAACGTCGTAGCGAGTAACGATTAACTATCACGTCAACAGTATCACACGTCTAAAGAAAATTACCAAACTGTCTAGATATGTACAACTAAATGTCGGTATTGATTACCAGATGCGTCGAGGCATCGTAATCAGAATATTGGATATATGAACCAGATATCACATATAAATTCACCATATTACTTTCATAAGACGAGTATAGTGTCATTCACCAAGCCATTTCTCTCAGTGCATATTAACACATGCGCTGTTGCCACACTTCACGCCTTAACTTTCCGTACCTATAATAATACTAGATTGGAACAATTAGGCGTCGATATCTTTAAAACTACGTAGTAAAAAATTTTTATATTTTTATATTATATCCGTACATTAGTCTTGAATATTATTGTAATTTTTCATAAAACTCTTTAATGTAGTTTGATCACCAGAATTAGAAATATTTTATCGGGAGCCATTTTCGTAATATTTTTGTATTATATCCGTACATTAGTCTTGAATATTATTGTAATTTTTCATAAAACTTTTGGATGTAGTTTGATCACCAGAATTAGAAATATTTTATCGGGAGCCATTTTCGTAATGCGATACACGTTAAAAGTGCTAACTTTGACTTTCGTTATCTCAGCTTTCGCATGGTCAATCTATTTTTAATTGCACTAATAATTAGATAATATTTAAGTTCATACATGCAAAACTAAGAGAGAGAGAAACAAATCATTTGTTCCCTCACGGCATCATTCTATTCCATATCGACAAACCATCCGATATGTTAAATTAGCAAAACATTTTTCTCTCAATTCAACATGACGTAGTTTATATATAGTAATTTATATATAGTGTAAATTTCAACAAATTCTTGGACAATTCATTTTGTGTATGTACTACCTTAGTCATCTTACATTCCGACGTCTGAGAGACGTCTTTAAGATGCCTTTCAGACGTATTATGTTCCGATTTTAGACGTTATGTTGTGTTAATTAAAGCTAAAACAATTCTTTATTATAGTGATTATTTTGATAGCATTTAGTAGTTAAGGGGACACCATATTTGAAAATTTTATTTTAAAATATTTATTTCAAAAAAGTTTACGTCATATTGAACTGAAAGAAAAATGTTTTGCTAATTTAACATATCCAATGGTTTGTCGATATGGAATAGCAAATTATTTCGTGGGGGAACAAATAATTTGTTTCTCTCTCTCTCTCTCTCTCTCAATTTGCTATTCTATAAGCAACACTGTTGCAATAGAAACAGGCTAATGGAGCTATTACTCAGTTAACCCAACAAATCATGAATTTGATTTGCTAGCAATACAGATTATTAGCAAAGTTTGGAAATAACACTTTAGTAAATCAGTCAACAAAGAAAGCTAATCTTTAAATATTTGTATAATTTTTGCACTTAGGCCCCAACGCTTCAGACATTCGGGTGCTAGGTCTGTTTCCCACATTCTACTCATTTTCTTTTCTGCATATTCTATTCGAAACAACACATATACACGAACATGAGGGAATTATATATATTTGACAGAATTCAAAATATCGATTTTTCAGAAATAATATTTTTCAAAAGTACCATTTAAAAATACTCCCTCCAAGTTGTAAACCGAAATTTGCAAAAATAACTGTTATAACAAACAGAAATTATAACATTTTGAATAAAACCAACTGCGGTCTATTGGCGTATTGATGCGGTCGGCTGGCGCTTAAATACACAGTCTTTTGTTTCGTCTGTATCAAACTCTTTTTTACAAATTTCCTTTACCTTTTGTGAATATTAATATTAAAAGATCGTTTTTGCATAATAGTATAATATCATATTAATATTTGCAAGAGCAAAATGTTTAATTTAATCATCCTTACAGAATTAAGTCGAAGAAAAATCGATAAAGGAAATAGCGCGTTCAATATGGATAAAAAGAAATAATTAAAAAAAGAACACACACACATGCATATAGACAATTCAGAAAAGATAAACTTAAAAAGAAGAAGCATCCAGTTAACAAATATGAAGCAGAGCAGGATAAATACGAGAATAGGAGCAAATGAATACTTCTACATAAAATCAATATACGAAGATTTAAGCATAATTGCTTAATTGCATTTAAGCAAGTACGCATGATAAAGGTATAACGTTAATAAAGTATACTTTATTAGAACAGTTGCCTTGGTGAATATACACAAAATAATAATGCAAGTTTGAACGCTAATTACATCAAAAGAACATTATTGCAAAACTAATATTATAAAAATAGCTATATATAACAACCATGTGTTTTAACGAAGAAAAAAGACTTTGTTAAAATTATGCAGACTATAGACGTATCGATGAGCATAAATATCCATTAATTCGCCGCTTTCAACGATAATCAAAGAATCAACTTACCGCAACATCAGGGAGGTAAAATCAACCAAGGAGGTAAAATCTCATAAAAAAGACCAGAGGAAAGATATATTGAAGTTGACTCATCTAAGAATGATGTATTATACAAGCTCGGAATCTATGATTCTATGTAAGTTAGAAATATAAGATTTTAACAATATGTAAACTTTAAACGCGTTTTTCTCAGAACTGTTTTCAAAATCGGTACCTAAAATTTCTCAACAACTATTGGAGTGATTATAGTTTTGCATAGATGTTATTAGTAAGATTATTTAATTTTTATCGTATGATATTTTATATTTATTATTTTCTCTTTATAAAAAAGGAGAAAATTTTGGTGAAAAATCGAACTTTTTACTTCAATGTTAACAACTTTATCAAAAATAAATATTTTAGAAATCGGCTACGACGAAGACTAGTTTTACTTATTATTTAACAGGATTTAGATCTTTTTTGTTTAAAATAAATAATGTCGGAGGTTTCTTGGGTAACGTAAATGCCAATTAGCGATGATGAGCTTCGCGGAAGTAATAACAACAGCGTTACATATCAACTTTTCGTAATGAGCTTCATATAATAATTAAACAGAAGTATGAAGAAATATTTTTCGGAGATCTGTATAAAATCAATAATGTCATCAGCAGAAAAGTTCAAACATTAGGCGTTTTTCGAGTCGATCAGGTGTAT